CGGTCGTCGGGGTGCCAGGAAGAGTTGTGATTCTGTGCCAATCACCTCTGAGGCAACTTGCACTCCCTCATAAGCTGCTAGGATCTCCTTCTCTGTTGGGGTGTAGTTGTCTTCAGATCCTCTGTAACTTCCGCTCTAAGCAACAAGGTATGTTTTGATTCGACGTTGGGAGTAAGCCAGCTCACGTTGGACAAACTTGCTCGACTTGAAAGTGCAAAAGCAAGCTATTTTATACACTTTAGATATGTGGTTACATCATTTAACATACATATTAATAAGTAGGCTAGTCTCTGGGTGGAGTCTTTCCAGACATGTGCAGTCTTCTACTGTGGGGGTCTTCTCCTCAAACCTTCATCCCTCTGGTGGTCGCCATGGACATCTTCCGCAATTTGACTTCTTCAATTAGGTGACCTGAATTCTTCAAGCTTGCAAAATCCTGGCTCTGGGCCTTCTAGATCTTATTCAAATGTCTAGTTTACCTAATTTATTACCGTGTGTGTACTACTCCTATTCTTTCTATAATAAGGTCTTTGGTCTAGTGAACAGAACAGAACATGATATTAACCAGTACTCCTAAAATATTCTTCAAGCAAAACAGGTATTGGGGTTTCTTAGCAGGCCAAGATATCTCAGTTAACTCTTTTAGACCTGGCTCCTGTTTCAGTTGAAGTGAGAGTCAGTGATGTCTAAAATAAATTTTGGTTGTATGACAGTATGATCGAAGGCCTGCTACAGGCCCGCATCTCCACTGTAGAGACATTGATTAAGGACCTCAAGACACTAACTACAGAGGTGAAAGATAAACAGGAGAAACTGAGAGAGGATTGAGGGAAACAGCTTCCATATGGCACCAGTGAGAACCAGACGTCTCACAGCTAGAGAAAATGGACAGACATCACGAAATGAGTTGTGGTATTTCCAAGTTGACCATGGAGAAGACATGAGACTGTGGGACAGGAAATCCACCTGCGTTCTAGCAACCCAAGTACAAGAGATGAAGGAGGGAGGAAAAGGGAAGTCAATGAAAGTAAGTACAGTACCAGTATCCTATGGGCAGGGATCTGACCTGCTAGAAGGTACCTCCAGTATATATTCACAGGAAAAAAACTGTGATTGACCCCAACCAAGACCAGTGTTAGAGGGGCCCTGCCTCTAGCCAGGTAGAGGCACAGGAGAACTGTGTCAATTGGAATGTGTGGATCCGATGGCCTGGTACATCAGACCCACAAGAATACCAGGCTTTGGTTGCTACTGGTGCTCAATGCACATTAATGCCATCAGGACATGTGGGGTCAGAAACTATTTCTATCTCTGGAGTGACAGGAGGGTCTCAAGAGTTGACAGTGCTGAAAGTTGAAGTAAGCTCGACCAGGAAAGATTGGCAGTGATGCCTATGACTTTTTGGATTTTTAGTTTTTTGTAGATTCTAGAAGTAGCTGTTTTATATCCCTTACCCTTAGCACAGTAGTTTACACATTTACCCAACACTGTTACCCCATTACATATCACTCCCTCAAAATTCCATTAACTTGTTTAGACTTCCCTAAAGGTAGACCTTCATTCTGTTTAAGAACATCTGCACCTTGGCCTAGACAACAAAATATCACACAGGCAAAGCGACCTTCAAACCCAGGACTTGGAAGAAGTTCCAAGGACTGAATGTGCTGTGATGAAGAGGATGTTGAGGAAGAGGGGGTCCCAGAGCCCCCTGACTCAATTTCCAGAACAGTGTACCAGGGGGAGGTACTGGGGGGCGGATAGACCTGGGATTGGTTAGGATAATACCTTAAATTGTGGAACCCCGTGGACACGGGAGGCGCGTCAATATATATTCCTGTGGGCCTCATGTCTGAAATTAAAGGACCTACTCTATCTTATCTTATACACTAGGTTGACTCGAAGTCCTGTTTTCTGCGATCTCTTAAGGCAACAGCAGAAACTGGCCCAGACACCCCATGAATCCTGGGCATTGACTCTCTTAGGAACAGGTATTTCAAAGACCCAAAGGGACACAGGTGGGCTTTTGGAATAGCAGTCATGGAGACAGTAGCAAGGGGGCAGTTGAATTCAATACATGGCCTTTCATAGAATCCTTCTGCGTTGAGACTGCTGAAGGTTGAGCAACAGCGAGTTTCAATTGCCACCACAATAGTGCATCGTCAGCAGTACCAAATGAACTGAGACTCTGTGATTCCCATCCATAAGATGATCCGTGAGCTGGAGAGCCAAGGGGTGGTCAGCAAGACCCATTCACCCTTCAACAGCCCCATCTGGCCTGTGTGTAAGTCTGATGGAGAATGGAGATTGACTGTGGACTATTGTGGCCTGAATGAAGGCACCCCGCTGTTGAGTGCTGCTCTGCCAGACATGTTGGAGCTCCAGTATGAGCTGGAGTCCAAGGCAGCAAGGTGGTATGCCACTACTGACATTGCCAATGTGTTCTTCTCCATCCCCTTAGCAGTAGAGTGTAGGTCGCAGTTTGCTTTCACCTGGAGGGAGTTGCAGTACACCTGGAAATCACTGCCCCAGGGGTGGAGACAGTCCCACCATTTGCCATGGACTGATCCAGGCTACCCTAGAGAAGGGTGAGGCTCCAGAACACCTACAGTATATTGACGACATTAACATATGGGGAGACACAGCAGAGGAAGTTTTTGAGAAAAGAAAAGGAAGTTATCCAGATTCTTCTGAGAGTCGGTTTCGCCGTAAAGAAAAGTAAGGTCAAGGGACCTACCTGCCTGAGAGATCCACTTCCTGGGGGTGAAGTGGCAAGATGATCATGCAGCGCACCAAATTGGAAACCCGAATCGCCCTGGGATCCTAGAAATCATCACGAAGGTGAGCACTTCAGTCTAACATATGAAGAGGAAGAAGAGTCAGTGGTACAGGCTGAGGAAACCCCAGCATACAATCAACTACCAGAAGGAGAAACACTGCACATCCTTTTCACTGATGGTTCCTGTTGCATCATAGGAACAAACTGAAAATGGAGAGCAGTCGTATAGAGCCCCACACAACAAGTTACAGAAGCTACTGAAGGGGGAGGGGGATGAAGTCAATTCGCGGAACTCAAAGCCGTCCAGTTGTCCTGGACATTGCTGAATGAGAGAAGAGGCCAAGGTTTTACCTCTACACTGACTCGTGGGTTGTAGTCAAGGCTCTGTGGGGATGATTGGACAGATGGAAGAAGGCCAATTGGAAACACAGAGGGAAACCCACTGGGCTGCTGATATGTGGCAAGACATTGCCACTCAAGTAGTGAATCTGATTGTGAGAGGCCACCATGTAGATGCCCCTGTGCCCAAAAATCGAGTCAGTGAGGAACATTGCAACAACGAACAGGCAGACCGAGCTGCACAAGCCAAGTGTGGCAGGTAGATCTAGACTGGCAGCACAAGGGAGAGTTGTTCCCAGCTCAATGGGCCCATGATGCCTCAGGCCATCAGGGCAGAGAGGTCACTAACAGATAGGCACAAGACCAAGGGGTGAATTTAACCATGGACACTATTTCCCAGGTTATCTATGCTTGTGAGACATACGCTGCCGTTAAACAGGCTAAGAGACTGAAGCCCCTGTGGTATGGTGGATGCTGGAGTAAGTGTAGGTATGGGGAGGTCTGGTAGGTTGATTACATCACACTGCCACAAACCCGCCAAGGTAAGTGCTATGTGCTCACCATGGTGGAAGTCACCACTGGATGGCTGGAGATGCATCCGGTGCCCCACGTCACTGCCCGAAATACCATCCTGGGTCTTGAAAAGCAAGTCCTGTGGCGACACGGCACCTCAGAGTGAATTGAGTCAGATAATGGGACCCATTTTAAGAACAGTTTAGTTGTCACCTGGGCCAAAAAATGTGGCATTGAGTGGGTATATCACATCCCATACCATGCAACAGTAACCGGTGTCCTAGTTAGAACAACTGGGACCGATTCATCACTGGATGGGTGTAGCCCAAAATTGTGTATTCTATAGTCCTCCATACCATTTCCCAGAAACTGTTGTCAGTAGAGGCCTGCGAGGTGCCCCCCCCCCCCCCATGCTCCTGTCCTCATGCCCTTTAGTGGAATTCCCTGACCGAGCACCCTCACGCCCTTTTATGGAATTCCCCACTCTGAGGGAAGGACTGAACATCCTTTTATGGAATTCCCCGCTTTGAGGGAGGGACTAATCATTCCTGCCTGAGCTGGAGAATATATAAACCTGGAGTTTCAGAACCTTACGACCACTCGTGGGATCCAGAGGAGGACTGCAGCTCACCGCTCTCAGCCAGACTGCAGCTCACTGCTCTCAGTCGGACTGAGACCACCACCCTCAACTGAACTGCAATCACCACTTTGGTCGGACTGCAGCAGCTCTCCCACCAGCAGGTTTTTTCCCCTCTCCCTTTGCTTTGGACTCGGGGGGGACCCTGGGAGCACCGTTTTGTTTGTGTCCTGGGGTACTGGGTTGTACATTTGGGCTTTGTGGGTTAGGGTCGGTTGCTTGTCTGTGTGGTTGTACTTATTGTATTATTTTATTAAATTGTTATTCTGATTTGTAATCTCTCTTTTGAGTTGGGTTGGTTTCCCCTGCTGGTTAACTTTTAAACCAGCATATTTTGGTGCCCAACGTCGGGCAGAGAGAGAGAAGTCAGAATCACAATTTCATTTTAAGCATTTGTCTATTTGGATATAGAAACTCCCTGATCACCATGTTGTTTGATGCATTCACGTGGATGTTGTATCTGAGCATGTTCATATTTCCACAGATGGGGAACTATTTGCCTGTTTTGATGTTCTCTTTAAAACCAGGGAGAGGGATCCAAATTGCTTTATTAGTATACTATATTTATGTCATCATAACATCAGAAGCAATGAGTTTCATTGTAAATGTGTATTCAGTCCTGTTTGCATGTCCTGGTTTGGGATGTTACCTCTGGGACCTCATTAAAAATCGCACCCAGTCCTTTGGGGAAACGGGGGGAATGGTTGTTTTCAGCCTCTCACCTCCTTCTTCCCCTTCAGACCTGCTACAACAGTTTTTGAAAATATTGGGTTCCCTTTTGATGTTAAGGATAGCATAATGTTATTGTTAGTGTTGCTTTGTCTGCTCTGTACTGTCTACACCATGTTTAGGGTCAGAACAGGGCCTTCTAGGGAGGTTGTTTGGACGTCTGCCCTGGGAGTGGATAATGCTGAGTGGTGCGGGAAGTGGGAGGACATCGACCAGTATTTGGAGAAGTTTTCTCCTCCAATGATCTGGAAATTCACCCCTGAACAACTGCAGGACCCTGTTAGCATGCTAAGACTGGTGAAGGGAAAATGCTCTGGCAGTTCCAGAGATGGCCAGCTCACAGCAACCTGCTGGGCCCTGGCCACTGCCTACCGGACACTACTTGACATGGTACAGCACTGTCAGGGGGAGGAGAGAAGGAGCAAATCCACAGGCACCACGTCCACCCAAACCACAGCTGAGTCAGAGGGAGAAAGAAATAAACCAACTGGCACCGTGTCCACACAAACCATCGAGGAGCCAGAAGAACAACCGAAACCAATAGCAGTCGCCCCTGTCCAGAAAAGGAAATCAAAGACTAAATCAGTCCGTATAGCAAATGACGACGAAGAGGCAGGACCTTCACATCCACCGGAGGAGACAGAACCAGAAATAATCACTCAGTCCCTATCCCTGGGTGAGCTACGTGAGCTCTGGAGAGAGTTCACACGACAGGCGAATGAGTCCATTTTGACCTGGTTGCTCCGAATCTGGGATGCAGCAGCTAACGATACAATTCTAGATGGGAGTGAAGTCAGACAGCTGGGATCCCTGTCTCGAGATGTAGTCATTGATCAGGGGATTGGAAGGAGGCAGGAAACTCTCAACCTCTGGCAGCGACTGTTGTCCAGTGTGAGGGAGAGATACCTTTGTAAGGAGGAGCTCCACGTACAGCAAGGACAGTGGAACACGATGGAACAAGGTATCCGGTGCTTAAGAGAATTAGCTGTACTGGAGATAATCTTTTCAGAGGATGAAAGATTCCCTAAAAGTCCCGATGGTGTACAGTGCACATCCCAGATGTGGTTGAAGTTTGCATGACTCGGGCCAGAAATGTATTCCCGCTACTTAGCAACGCTGCAATGGAGGGAGGGAGAGGACAAGGTGGGCACGTTGGTTAGTAAACTCAGGATTTATGAAGACACTGTCACCGCCCCATTACGAACCCACGTCTCATCTGTGGAAACCACACTAACTGAACATGTCCGAAGCCTGGAAGAGAAGATTGAAGAGGGACACCAGAAACTAAGAGAAGAAATTAAGGAAGGGATCTTCCATATCGCACCAGGACAAACAAGAGTCTCTGCTATTAGGAACCAGCGTCCCCCAGCTAAGGAGAGAGAACACACTCCACGTGGCAATCTATGGTTTTACCTCCGTGAGCATGGAGAAGATATGAGGAAGTGGGATGGGAAACCCACCTCTTCCTTAGCAGCCCGGGTACGTGAACTGAAAAGAGGGACAAGTACCACAAGGAACTCTTCAAGGGTAAATGCTGCTCCAGTCTCTCGTGGGCAAGACTCCAGACGGTACAGGAATGATGATACGTCTGATCCTCTTGAAGGGACCTCTAGGTCATACTTACAAGAAGAGCACAATGAGTACCATGACCAGGACTAGGGGTGCCCTGCCTCTAGCCAGGTAGAGGAGAGGGACAATCGAGTCTATTGGACAGTGTGGATTCGGTGGCCTGGCACATCAGAGCCACAAAGATATAAGACCTTAGTGGACACCGGCGCACAATGTACTTTAATGCCATCAAGATACGTAGGGGCAGAATCCATCTCCATTTCTGGGGTAACAGGGGGATCCCAACAGCTGACTGTACTGGAAGCTGAAGTGAGCCTGACTGGGAAGGAATGGCACAGACACCCCATTGTGACTGGCCCAGAGGTCCCGTGCATCCTTGGCATTGATTACCTGAGGAGTGGGTATTTCAAAGACCCAAAAGGACTTCGTTGGGCTTTTGGCATAGCTACTGTGGAGACAGAGGAAATTAGACAATTGAACACCTTGCCTGGTCTCTCAGAGGACCCCTCTGCTGTGGGACTGCTGAAGGTTGAAGAACAATTGGTACCAATAGCCACAGCAACAGTGCACCGTCAGCAATACCGCACCGACCAAGATTCTGTGACCCCTATACATAAGATGATCCGTGACCTGGAGACCCAGGGGGTGGTCAGCAAGACTCGCTCACCCTTTAATAGCCCTATATGGCCAGTGCGTAAGTCCAGCGGAGAGTGGAGGCTGACGGTGGATTACCGTGGACTCAATGAAGTCACACCACCCCTGAGTGTTGCTGTGCCGGACATGCTGGAGCTCCAGTACGAGCTGGAGTCCAAGGTAACCAAGTGGTAATCCACCACTGACATTGACAATGCCTTTTTCTCCATTCCTTTGGCAGCGGAGTGCATGCCACAATTTGCTTTCGCTTGGAGAGGTGTGCAGTACACCTGGAACCGACTGCCTCAGGGGTGGAAACACAGTCCCAGCATTTGCCATGGACTGATCCAGACTGCACTGGAAAAGGGCGAGGCTCCAGAACATCTACAGTACATTGATGACATCATTGTTTGGGGGAACACAGCAGGGGAAGTCTTCGAGAAAGGAGAGAAGATAATCCCGGTTCTCCTAAGAGCTGGTTTTGCCATTAAACGGAGTAAGGTCAAGGGACCTGCTCAGGAAATTCAGTTCCTAGGAGTGAAGTGGCAAGATGGACGCCGCCTAATTCCAATGGAGGTGATTAACAAAATAGCAGCCGTGTCCCCACCAACCAACAAGAAGGAAACACAGGCTTTCCTAGGAACCGTGGGCTTTTGGAGGATGCATATCCCCGAGTACAGTCAGATTGTAAGCCCTCTCTACCTTGTGACACGGAAGAAAAATGATTTCCAGTGGGACCCTGAACAACAACAAGCCTTTGAACAAATTAAACAGGAGATTGCCCATGCGGTAGCCCTTGGACCAGTAAGGACAGGACAGGACGTGAAGAACGTACTCTACACTGCAACCGGGAAGAATGGCATTTCCTGGAGCCTCTGGCAGAAGGTGCCTGGGGAGACCCGAGGACGACCGCTGGGATTCTGGAGTCGGGGATACAAAGGATCTGAAGCCAGCTATACACCAACTGAGAAAGAGATCCTGGTTGCTTATGAAGGATTTCGAGCTGCCTCAGAAGTGATTGGCACCGAAGCGCAGTTCCTCCTGGCACCCCGACTACCAGTGCTGGGCTGGATGTTCAAGGCAAGAGTTCCTTCTACACATCACGCCACCGATGCCACATGGAGTAAGTGGATTGCCCTGATCACCCAGCGAACCCGGATAGGGAATCCTAATCGCCCTGGGATCCTGGAAATTATCACCAATTGGCCCGAAGGTGAGAGTTTCGGACTATCCTCTGAAGAAGAAGAGGAACAGGTGACATGGGCTGAGGAGGTCCCACCATATGACAAGCTACCAGCAGATGAAAGGCGATATGCGCTCTTCACGGATGGCTCCTGTCGCATTGTAGGGACAAACCGAAAATGGAAGGCAGCCGTATGGAGTCCCACACGGCGAGTTGCAGAAGTGACCGAAGGACAAGGCGGGTCAAGTCAGTTTGCAGAGCTTAAAACCATTCAGTTGGTTTTGGATATAGTTGAACGAGAGAAGTGACTAAGACTCTATCTCTACACTGACTCATGGATGGTGGTCAATGCTCTGTGGGGATGGCTGGAGCGATGGAAAAAGGCCAACTGGCAGCGTCAAGGGAAACCCATCTGGGCGGCAGAGATGTGGCAGGACATCGCTGGTCGGGTAGAGAAGCTGAGTGTGAAAGTTGGTCACGTAGATGCTCGTGTACGCAAGAAACAGGTTAATGAGGAGCATCGCAACAACGAACAGGCAGACCGAGCTGCACAAACCAAGTGTGGCAGGTAGATCTAGACTGGTAGCACAAGGGAGAGTTGTTCCCAGCTCAATGGACCCATGATGCCTCAGGCCATCAGGGCAGAGAGGTCACTAACAGATAGGCACAAGACCAAGGGGTGAATTTAACCATGGACACTATTTCCCAGGTTATCTATGCTTGTGAGACATACGCTGCCGTTAAACAGGCTAAGAGACTGAAGCCCCTGTGGTATGGTGGATGCTGGAGTAAGTGTAGGTATGGGGAGGTCTGGCAGGTTGATTACATCACACTGCCACAAACCTACCAAGGTAAGTGCTATGTGCTCACCATGGTGGAAACCACCACTGGATGGTTGGAGACCCATCCGGTGCCCCACATCACTGCCCGAAATACCATCCTGGGTCTTGAAAAGCAAGTCCTGTGGTGACACGGCACCTCAGAGTGAATTGAGTCAGATAATGGGACCCATTTTAAGAACAGTTTAGTTGCCACCTGGGCCAAACAATGTGGCATTGAGTGGGTATATCACATCCCATACCATGCAGCAGCAGTTGGGAAGGTTGAACGGTGTAATGGACTGTTGAAAACCACTCTGAAGGCGTTGGGTGGGGGGGACTTTCAAGCACTAGGATCAGCACTTAGCAAAGATCATGTGGTTAGTCAACACCAGAGACTCCATCAATCAAGCCGACCCTGCCCAATCGCAGTCCCTTAACACCGTAGATGCAGACAAAGTCCCAGTAATTCACTTGAGAGGTATGTTGGGTAAAACAGTTTGGATTAATCCTGCCTCAAGCAAAGGTAAACCCATTTGTGGGATAGTTTTTGCTCATGGACAAATTTCTTAGTGGGAGTATCAGCGGAGAGGCTCGGAACAAATCGCGCACAGGCCAATATGGTCAGACGATGTCCAATTTATTATTTAAATCATTTAACTTTTATACAGTTTAGTTTGTTCCGGGTACATGCTCACAACAAGGCGATTGGATAGCTCAGTCTGTGCATGCGTCTCATGCTTTCAGTTTATTGGACCTGGTGCTGTGTTCATGCTGCCTGAAATTATATTTGACATGCAAAGTCCCTTGTAT